AGGGGACTGGGCAGGAGATGGAATGGGGAGGGAAAGAATTGTGGGGATCAGATGTGGGGAGAATGGGGGTGGGAGGTGAGAGGGATGGGAACAAGAAGGGAAACTGAGAGGGCATCTCTTTGACAATCTGGAAGCCTGCTACAGGGTAGGCTCCTGGGAGGATATGGGTGTGACTCTAGCTGAGACTCCTAACAGGGGGGATGTGAAGACTGAAGTGACTACCTCTTAGCTAGTGGAGGGAGAGGAACAACACACTCACAAAACTCTTGATCCAAAAATTAGCCTACCTACAAGAAGTGCAGAGATAAAAAGGGAACAGAGATTGAGGGAAAGTCCAACCAACAATTGCCCAAACCTGAGACCCACCCCATGATAGCCAGCCCCTGACACTATTTTTTTTAAGATTTAATTTTATTATGTATGCAATGTTCTGCCTACATGTACACCTGAACACCAGAAGAGGGCATCAGATCTCATCATAGGTGGTTGTGAGCCACCATGTGGTTGCTGGGAATTGTGCTCAGGAACTCTGGAAAAGCAGCCAGTGCTCTTAACCTCTGAGCCATCTCTCCAGCCCCGCCCCTGACACTATTAATGATGATCTGCTTTGCTTGCAGATAGGAGCCCAACATGACTGTCATTCAGGAGGCTCCACCTAGTAGCAGATGGAGACAGATATTGGGACTTGGAGCCAAGCATGGAGTGGAGCTCTGAGATTCTGTGGAAGTGTTGGGGGAAAGATGGACCTTTAGGAGGCAGGAACCTCACAAGAAGACCAACAGAGACAACTAACCCAGACTCATGGTGGCTTATAGATACTGAGACATCAATTAAGGAGTATGCATAGTCTGGACCTAGGCCCCCTGTACATATGAGGCCAATAGATGACTTGGTCTTCATGTGGGTCGCCTGGCCAGTTGTGGGGAGGGGGATCTGTTTCTAACATGGACTCTATTGCCTGCTTTTGGATCACTTCCCCCTGGCAGGGCTGCCTTTCCTGGCCTCAGTGGGAGAGGATATGCTCAGTCCTGACGTGACTTGATGTGCTGGGGAAGGTTAACTAAAGGGGGCTCCTCTTTCTGGGGGAAAAGGGAGAGGGGAAGGTGCTGGGGGAGGCTTGGAGGAGAGGAGGGGGAGGGCACCCTTGGGATGTAAAGTAAATAAACTTAAATAAAATAAATATTAAAACAACAACAAACAAACAAAAAAGCTTGTGACACTCACTCTGTGACACTTGTTTCCAGCATTGTGAATTCCTGGTCTTGTGTCTTCTAAGCCCTTAAAATTGTCCTTATTGTTCCCAAACCCCTTTCCCAAAATTTCCTGCTACCTCTTTGCACAGTTTTGTGCTATCTACAGTCCTAAAGGGCCTGAGACATTTGTGTGTGTATATGTGTCTGTGTATATGTCTGTATATGTGTCTGTTTGTCTGCCTGTGTGTGTGTCTATATGTATGTGTGTGTGTGTGTTGGTGTGTGACTATGTGTATGTGTGTGTATGTATTTGTGTCTTTGTCTATGAATGTGGACATATTCAGGTATCAGTGTGGAGACTAAGGACAACTATTAGAAGTCAGTTCTTTCCACCGTCGGTTCTGGGGATTGAACTCAGGATGGAATGCTTGCTTTTGTGCAAAGTGTTTTAGGTGCCGAGCCATCTTGCCATCCGTTCAGTACAGTTCGTGACTTGAAAAGCCCAATATATACAATTAGAAGAGGCATAGCATAACTCCTAAATACACTCCCAAAGTGGGACGAAATGGATGGACACAGCTGTCACTGATCATAGATTATATGAAACCCAGCAGGATCAGTTCCTTGATTATGGCTCAAGGGCATGAATGATTATTTTTGGCTCTGTTCTTTGGGTTTTTGTGGCTTCTGTACTCTGAATAACACTTCCTTTTCTAATGAAAGATAGCCTTTGTTAGCAGCTGAATTTTTTTTTTTAATATTTCTTTTTATAGAGGTTTGGGAACCTAAAGTTTTGTTTTCAAATTTTCTACTGTCTTGTACCTTTTTGGTCCAAATTGGTTATATTTCAATAATATAATTAAAAACTTTGCTCTTCTGTATGTCTTACTTCTGTGTGGTTTTGTATTAGACAAACACATACATACAAATCTCTTTAAAATAAGCTTTTCTCTACTTTGTGCTTCCAAGGCTGCTGGGGACAACTGCTGAGGGCAATTCTCTTATGAGTCTTTAGGGGTCCAGTGAAATAATGGAGAGTATTACTGGGAGTACCTTTGTTTGCAAGTTTGTTTGTTTGTTTTTATCTGACTGAGATGTCCATTCAGAGCTTTCTGTTGTGTTTCAATAGTCTTTCAACTCATTCTTTATTTTAAACAAAAGTTTAGTTTTTTTTATGTGTATGGGTGTTTTTCCTACATGTATGTATGTGCCCCACATGTGTGTCTGGTGCCCACATAGGCCAGAAGAAAGCAATTGGATTTCCTAAAACTGGAGTTACAAATGATTGATGGTTGAACAGAGGTTCTCTCCAAAAGCAGCCAGTGATCTTAACTACATTGTCATCTCTCCAGCCTATTCATTTTCAATTTCATATTTATTGAGACAGGGTCTCTATTTGTAGACAAGGCTGGTATATACGTATCCCAGGCAGACCTAATTTATAGTAATCCTTCTTTGGAGTTTACAGAAATGGGTCACCATGTCCTGTTTTTTTTTTTTTTTTCTCTTTTAAAGATAATGATTTACATACAGTAAAATTAACTATCCCTTTTTCTTTTTGTAGTTCTGGGAATTCAATCCAGAGTCTCATAAATACTAGGCAAGCTCATTACCATTGAAGCGTAGCCCAACCCCCAAATTCACTACACTTCACAGTTCTTTGAGTTATGTTACAACTGTGTGTTATGTTCTACCACTGAGCTATGCTTCCAGCCTCATGAATACTCTTTCTGAAGCATGGAAGCATCCTTTCATCCTAAAAACTTCAGGATCTACCAAAGAATTCTCAAACCATAGATCCCACATGAAATGTAAACTAAATGATCTATGTTTCCGGTGAATTTAGGTATCAGTAGAGGCATTAAGAAGGCTAATAAGGGCTGGAGAGAGTGTGAGACTTACAGGTGAAGAGCACTGTCTGCTCTTCCAGAGGTCCTGAGTTCAATTCCAAGTAACCACATGGCGGCTCACAACCATCTATAATAAGGTCTGGTGCCCTCTTCTGTCATGCAGATGTGCATGCAAATAGAGCACTCATATGTAAAATAAAGACATAAATCTTAAAAAAAAAGTGTTAAAAATAAAAAAGAAAGAAAAGAAGGCTAATAAAAGCCAGGCATGGTGGCGCATGCTATTAGTCCCAAGCACTCAGGAGGCAGAGGAAGTTGGATTGTTGTGAGTTTGAGGGCAGCCTGGTCTATAAAACAAGTCTAGGATAACCAAGGTCACACAGAGAAATCCTGTCTTGAAAAACAAAACAAACAAAACTAAAAAAAAAAAAAAAAAAAAAAAAAAAAAAGGCTAGAAAAGGGGTAAGCAGTTTGGGAGTACGAAAAGACATGCAAGTTCACCTTGCTGCAAAACTGCAACTTTGACCCAAGAGTAGATAGATAATAGCCTGGGAATACTTTGAGGCACACTGGGGTTGCTAAAGGATGTGGTTTGTTGGCTTGTTTTCAGCCATCTGTCCTGCATTAGAATCATCGTAGGCAGAAGGCAGGCCATGATGCAGGCAGAGAATGTGGTTAAGGTACCCACCTAGGATGAATTAGTTACTTTGTGTTACTGTGATAAAACACTGAGCAAAAGCAACTTTTGGAAGGAGAGGGTTTCTTTGGCTTATATGTTCCAGTTCACAGTCCAGCACTGAAGAGAAGTCAGGGCAGGAACTGAAGCAGAGACCATGGGGGAACTGCTGAATACTGGCTTGATCAGCTTGGTTTCTGATACAACCTAGGACCAGCTGCCTAGGGGTGGCACCATCAGAGGGTGGGTGTGGCAGTGCCTAATTCCCTGAATCTTGGCTCCTAATTAGTGATCATTAATTAATTTTTAGGATGACAATTGACATCTTTGGATCCACTCTAAAATGGTCTCCCCAGCTTGATATTTCTAGTGTTCTCTTAAAGCTTTTCTTCAGATCACACACACTTGGTGGTATATATCCGAAGTGTGGCTACATAGCAGTTCAAGGAGAGGAGGCTACAGGGAATGCTCTCCTTTCGGCTCCTCTGCCTTTGGTTTGGGGTAGGGTACTTCCAATAAAGCCTGGAGGGTCAAAGGTGCAGAAGTTGGGACTAGCAACTAGGCTCCAGTATATGCCAGGTAGAAATTGCCAGGTGCTTCTTTGGACAGTCAAAATGTAATTAGTTAAGCAACAGGGATGATGAGGATGATGAGATTACAGTAATAATGATGATGGTCAGTATAAAAGCGCCCTGTTCTGAAGATCTGATGTGCACACATTAGTTTAACAGAAATTTGGTCACACGGGTGCTTTAATCCTTGCCCTCAGAGTATCCAGTTGTTTTCCTCTAGGAAGCCCCATCTTTGTTATCTTGACTTTGTGACTTAGTCGCCTGCGCAAACCTGGATCCAGAATGAAGCGTATTCCTTGTCGCTATTATCACCACGTGTAAATTAAATATCAAGGAGAAAATCCTAGGTGAAGCCTTTAGTTTACAATAATGTGCGAAGATGTGAATAAATAAAAGTCGTTAAAGCATATTTTTAAAAAGGAAAAAACAGCATTCAACAAAACCTGCATGAATTCAATTAATTTTGCGGACTTGAAGCACGTCCAAGTCCAAGAGAGAGTGCAAGAGAGTGGCAGTTTCTTCTTAGCGATGTATCTAGAGCGGACCGGACAGCAAAAAGGATTGACTTAAGCCCCTCTTAAGTCAATGCACAGCTGGGCATCCTTAACTAGGCAGCAGCATGCTTCCAGGAAACCCGAAAGGGAGTGGAAGCCTGGGAACGGAAGTTCCGGAGTTCGCCCCGCCCTGCCCTGCTGCGTTAGTTCCGGGATTAGGCCGGGTCAGCATTACAGCTACGGCTTTATAGCCGCTCTTTAGGGTTCCTAGCCGGCTGCTTTTTGGCGCCGGGCCTCAGCATGGCTGCCTCCAGGGTTGAGGGCCGGGCAGTTGCCACACTTTCGTTTTGCTGACCGTCCTTGTAGTTTGTGCTCTTGTCTTTCTTGGGCTACTCCAGCAGACATGTTCGCTAAGGCCTTTCGGGTCAAGTCCAACACAGCCATCAAGGGATCGGGCAGGTGAGAATGCTTTTGCTAAGTTTAGCGTGGCCCACATCTAGGGTTGCACATGGAGAGGAGACCCCAGGGAGCCAAGCAGGAACGTTGGGAACATTTTGAAGATGAGATGTAGGGGGCGTTCTTTTATCTTCCAGATGCTCTTTGGAACAATAAAGTTTAGTCAGCATGTAGTGGGCTCAAACTAAGTTTTGTGGAAGATGTAAAAGGAGGGAATGCAGGGACCCTGTCCTCCACGGAGTTTAGAGCCCATGGGGAAACTCAGGTAGTGTACCGAAAACTAAAAGTATAGGGAGAAAGCGCATTAACGACTACTGTTGGCCAGAGACCGCTGGCATGTGGTGGCAGAGCATAAGGAAGATGTGGTAAAGAGATATTACCTTTTCAGTCACTGTCGCAGACACAGATGCCTCCTCAGGAATTTGAAACCAGCTTTCTTTACGTGTCATACTTTTTGCCATAGTAACCTTTTAATCATAAGTTGACAGATTTGCCAACCAGTCTAAAAAAGGAGTGGGAAGAGCATGTGAGATCAGATGGGTTTCCTTGACTTTCCAAAGACTAACTTTGATTGTTCAGTCACCAGCTGTGTTCCGATGCCCAGGAAGTTGCGGAAATAGGTGACACAATGAATAAGAAGGCTAATAGGAAAGTTGAAAACAGGGCTTTGTTAACTAGGCAGCCCTTCTTCAGCCTATATTTTTATAATTATTCTGAATTTCTCTACTTAAATGTCCAACAAGAAGATGGTATTCATGGTGCTGGTGTGCTTTCTACAGGAGAAAGCTTCGGGCTGATGTGACAGCTGCTTTTCCCACCCTTGGAACAGACCAGGTCTCCGAACTGATACCTGGAAAGGAAGAGCTAAACATTGTGAAGTTGTATGCGCACAAAGGGGACGCAGTGACTGTTTATACGAGCGGTGGTAACCCCGTCCTGTTTGAACTGGAGAAAAATTTGTATCCCACAGGTATGGCAACAAGATAAATGCCCAGACTACAGTCCTTGTGTAACACTTGTTGTTCTCTGTTTATTTATTTTTGTTCCCCCCACCCCTTAACGTGCCTTTTCAGATAAAATGAACACCGAGATTCCCAATGCTATTCCTAAGGATCTTTTCAGACCTAGAAAGACCGTCAAAACCAGAAATTGCCATAAGAGGGCTAAAACAAACAAGCAAACAAAAAACTAGAAAGACTGACAGTTGCAAAGTTCAGAGATAAAGGAGCTTGGAATATTTGGAGAGAGTAAGGTGTTGCAAAAGGTGGAATTTTAGAGCATGTAAAGAAAATAACCTGTAAACTGTAAAAGGCTTTTTCTTAACACGAGGCAGAAAGCCTAGGCTGGGGGATAAGCTAATGAAGTTGCCTCTTCAGCTGTGGTAGTTCCACACTTCATGTGCGCTGCTTCACAGTGGGTTTTCCTAAGCTCTGATTTGTTGTCTACGACTCTCTGCTCTATTATCTTTGCCACAGATCTGCTTTCTTCTTTTCATGGCAGCTGACACCTACGTTGTCACTTGGGGCTTTTGCTGCAAGGTAGTTCGGCTGCAACAGTACAGTGCAGTGCACTTCCTCTACTCACGTCTCTCCCCCCCACCCCACCCCCGTTCACTGCTGTACCTGAAGACACTGAAGACAGATACAGACTCTTTCTTTCTCTAAGAGCTTTACTGCTCAATTACCATGAAAATAGGAACTCAAAATATAGGTTGGAGAACGTTTCGAATTTTCTTACAGACTGGCTATATGTTTTGGGGCTGTTTTGCTTCTGAAGTTATGTGTGAAAGCCTCTTTGGTTTCTGCTGCGAATTTTAGTTCTGTGTGGCCATTTTCTGCTAGTAGTCCTGAGGAGCAACAGGTGCAACAGCAACTCTCGGCAGAAACCAGTTCCCAGGTGTCAATAGGTCTCTGCTTTGATCCTGAAGGCAGTCTCTCTGCCAAGGCTTTTTTTCTTCTTTTCTCTCTGTGTATCCTTGGCTGTCCTGGACTCGCTTTGTAGACCAGGCTGGCCTTAAACTCACAGTGATCCGCCTGCCTCTGCCTCCCTGAGTGCTGAGATTATAGGTGTGCACCATGTGCCCAGCAAGCAAGGCTCTTTTAACCTCTACAACTTTGAACTGAATGTTTTTTCTTTTTCCTGAATTCTAATTAAAGTGAGCACAGTGTTTGGTGTTTCTAGATCTCCAGCAGGCAGTGCTTGCTAATAAGTGTTTCTTGGTCTCTTTTGGTACAGTGTATACACTGTGGTCCTATCCTGATCTTCTGCCAATTTTTATAACATGGCCACTGGTACTCGAAAAACTGGTCAGGGGAGCAGGTAAGAGAATTTTTCTGTGTTCCAGCTATTGCTTGAAATTACTTCAGTAATTATCAGCCACCTTACTGAATCTCCTACTCATTTCTTGTGCTCATATGTTGAAAACTGTATCTGCCCTTTCTGTGTGCATTCCTGTGTGTGTGTGTTATTCTTCCCACTTGGCTGATTCCATGAGTTCCCTGGACATGTCTGATTCTGCTGTAAGCCTTCTATAAGTAATATGAAAGCAGTTTGTGAACTGCCATGTACTTTACTTTAAATCAGTAGGGAAAATAGCACCTAATGCTCCTATTTGTGAGTCCTGAAATGGAGAGCTGATTCTCAAGCTGATATATGTTTCTTTGTCAAGTGGAAGGGCTTATGATAAAGTAAGCATGCTAATGATGTTAAGTAAGCTGTTCTGTTTTTGTTTGCTGCAGATTTGATGCTGCCAGGTTTAGTGGTGCCTTCTACTGGTCTGCCTCAGGTACAGCAAGGCGACCTCTGTGCCATTGCCTTGATGGGGAACAGGTAGTGTTTCAGACAGCTGTGCTGTTTGTGTGTGGATGGGGGTGCGGTGCTGAGGAACAGAGGTACAAGGGAGGTGGAGGAAAATGACAACTCCCAAAGCATGTGGACCAAGAACTGAGAGAAAAAAAAAAAAGTGGGTTTTTTGGAAGAAGCAGATAGATAGTGGGCCCTTGGAAGGCAGCAAGCCTGTGTAGAGCTGCAGATCTGGGCACAAGATGTTTGATGCTGCTGAAGTTTTAAAATTTACTTTAGAAATAACTTTAGATTTATAGGAGAATGTAAGAGATGGTGCAGAGTTCTGATATATTCTCCAAAGACCACATCTTATGTAACCCATTGTAGTTATCACAGCTAAGAAGTGTTGTCCTAGGGGCTGGAGACATGACTCAGCGGTTAAGAGCACTGGCTGCTCTTCCAGAGACCCTGAGTTCAATTCCCAGCAATCACATGGTGGCTTTCAACCATCTGTATTGGAGTCTGATTCCCTCTTCTGCTGTTCATGAAAACAGTGTTCGTATACATGAAATAAATAAATCTTAAAATAAGTGTGTGCCACCACTGCCTAGCAAAAGACTGAAAAAAAAAAAAGTGTTGTCCTATAGTGGGCCAATTGTGAACACACTCAAGCCTGTATTTGTAGCTCTACAACTTTGTTTTTGTTTTGTTTTGGATGCTGTTTTTTTGTGAGTACCTTTTTCTATTCAAGGATCCAGTCTAAGATACTGCATTGCACTTAGCTGACCCTTCTTTTAGCCTTCTTTATATATGACATTCTCTTGCCTTTCCTTTTCTTTCATTATCTTTACCCCCATCAACTGCATCATTATCTGTATTTTAATACCTTTATAGAAATATAGTTTACATACATAAAAAGCTTTCCTATCTTAAAATCACAATCAGATGGTTTTTAGTCTGTTTGCTAAAACATACTGAGTCATTACCATGTTGTTTGTTTTTGATACCAGGGCTTATGCATGCTAGGCAAGTATTTTACCACTGAATTGTTCCCTCAGCTTCTACTGCTTCTTTTAAAAAAGAAACCAAGAGTCGTTGTATGGACACATCTGTCTGAAAAAGACTTTGCCTGATCCTTCTCTCTGGCTTCCTTCCTAGAGCTCCTGTAGCAGTTGGAGTGGCTGCCATGTCCACAGCTCAGATGCTGGCTTCAGGCATGAAGGGAAAGGGCTTCTCTGTGATCCACACTTATCAGGACCATTTGTGGTAGGTGCATTCTTCTATTTCTAGGGCGTGGGGGTGGTGAATGGAGAGAACATGAACCTGAGGTTTAGAAGTGCAAGTATTTGTCTAGGCACATCCTCATGCAGCTTGTTGGCCCCAGACTTCCACCTACTTGCCAAATGTGGGCAAAGTACATTTCTGTTGTTGTTCACACAATAAATTTGAGACAACTTCGTTATTTTCTAAGCCTGGAATTGTCCCAGACAATTGTCTTAGACTTAGGTATTGTTTGCCTTGCCCTTCACTGTAGTGATGTTCTTATAGTGCTAGTTACTCTGGTTTTGTGCATTATGTGCATTTTAGACACTATTTGGTCCTAAGACAAGTACTTCTGAATCCAGATCAGTTGTCAGCGGGATAACTGATTACTTTATGCTCTTCAAGTCTCAGAATCCTCACTATGGAACACACATTCTGGCTATAACAATGCATATGCCTATAATCCTAGCACTCAGGAAGCTCAGAGCATCTGAATCTCAAGTTCCAGGCCAGCCTAAACTAGGTAATGAGACCCTATCTCAACTTCCCCTTCTGCTAGCCCACACCCTGCCAAAAAAGTCCCACAAATCCCTAGTTCTACTGCTTTTGAGAAAAATCACTATTTATTGTTCGAGAAAAGTGAGATTAACCAGACGAGGAGCAGGTATGTGGCTCTGAAATGGATTGTTACAGCTAGAGTGTGTGTTTCATAATGAGGAATTATCAGTAGCTTCCTCAGCCACCAACCTCACCAACATTTATCTGGTTAGGACAGTCTACACATACTATTAGAGATATTAATAAGCCTCGCTGCAACTATTTGTTAAACGTAGTTTAACTGTTAGCTTTACTGTGTGCTCTGCTGTGTGCCATCCCAAGTTTTCCTGTCTTAAGTCTGAGAAGTAAGCCATCATAATCTCAGCTTTACACATTTGATTGCATTTCTTTTAACACAGCCACCATGGGTTTGTAGTCCAGGTATTTGTATTTTGTTAGATAGGCTAAGCCCTGGGTTTTTATTTCACCAAACTGGTAGAATCTTAATCATACTTTTCTTCTCTTCCTTCCTTCTTTCCTTCCTTTCCTTTCCTTTTTCTTTTTCCTTTCCTTTCCTTTTTCTTTTTCCTTTTTCTTTTTCCTTTTTTTTCCTTTCCTTTCCTTTTCCTTTCATATAGCCCGGGTTAGCCTCAGATTCACTATGTAGCCAAGGATGTTTGCATTCCTGATCCTCCTACCTCTGCCTGCTGAGAACAGGGATTACAGGCAGGTGCCATCATACCTGTTTTTATTTTTTGTTTTGGTGTTTGAGTCAGGGTCTCTCTATGTAGCCCTTGCTGTCCTGAAACTTGCTTTGTACACTAGGCTTACCTAGAAGTCACAGAGATCCATCTGCTTTTGCCTCTCAAGTGCTGGGATTAAAGGCATGCACTGCCACCACACGGCTCATACCTGGCTCTAATCATGATCTTTAATTCAAAGTGGTTATTTAACTCAAGGTGGTCCTATGCAAGGAGCATTTTCAGTGGTTTATCTTTAGCTGCCTTCTTTTTCCTTCATCTGTTATATTGAGAATTGGCTCAGGGCTTTGCCTGTTAGCAAGCATTTTACTACTAAGCTCTTAAGGGCTTTGTTGTTGTTGTTTTGATCTTTTCTGCTCTGCAGCTCAAGCTGGCCTGGACTCACTGGGGAGCTTGGGACTTTTCTGGGCTCAGAATAATTGAACTGAATTGAGATGGGCATTCACCACTTGGTTGTCCTGGATTCTCCTGCCTGTTGGCTGTACTGGCTTTAAACACCTGACTGATTCTCCTCTGATCGGGGAGGGTGAATGTTGTAGCTAGTGCTTGGTGTTTCTGACATCAGATTTTTCCAGGAAATCTGGAGACAAGTCCTCTCTACCTGCCATTGCCCCACTGGCAGTGGATCCCACAGATAGCAATGAAAAGAAGGTGGACCTTGGTCTGCATGGAAACCCGAGGAGCCTGGCGCTGGAGGGAGGGGAGAGCAATGGGAAGGTTCCTCAGCCAGAAGCCTCTGAAGATACTAGCTCTGGGGCCCTGAGTCAGGATTCCGTGGATGGCAAGCCCCTTCAAGGTACGACTTTGAGGTGGAAAGCTCACATATGTCTTTCAGATTAGAATAGCATTGATGCTCTGGGAGAGAATGGCAGAACCCTTATTCTGCTGTACAGTAGTTCTGTACTCCTTACATAAGTCATGCTCCTATGTGCCTGCCTGTCTGTCATTTGGATAGTTTCTAGCTATGAGCCCCCTAAGGCTTCTGGTTCTAACTTCTCTGAATGAATATCTCTGGCTTAGTGGCACTGTGTTTGCTTCTTTCTGTGGGCTAATCTTTACAGGATCAGTGCTCAGGAGTATGGAAAGGGTTCAGTGAGATGGCTCAACAAGCAGCAGGTAAAAGCACTTGCTATACAAGCCTGACCACCTGAATTCAGTGCCTAGAACCCATGGTGGAAGGGGAGAACTGACTCCTGAAACCTTTCTTCAGGCTTCCACACACAAATGCGTGCTCACCCTCGCACACACTTTTTAAAAAAGTCTGCAGCCTGGGAGCTTGGATGCCCAGGGATGGCTCCGTTTGAGCCAAGGTGATGAGAGGGACAGAGTTTGCCATGCACCAGGCAGCACTCGCACCTCAGGAAGGATGTGATTCTTCCCTTTCTTTGCAGAGCAAATGGATGAGTTGTTACAGCAGTGCTTCCTGCATGCCTTGAAGAGTCGAGTCAAAAAAGCTGACCTCCCTTTGCTCACCAGCACTCTCCTTGGCAGTCACATGTTCTCCTGCTGGTATGGAAGGCGCTGCTCAGTGGGGGCTGTAGACACGGTCTCACAGCTGTTATTGGTGGTAAAGCAAGATGGGTGGTAGGGGCTGGTGAGTGACATGTGGGAACGGCAGAGCAGAAAGGTGGTCTGGAAGGTAACTAGGTTCTTGGCTTTAAAACCTTCAGTTTTATCTAGTGAAAGGATCCTAAGGTCAAAATTCTCAAGATCCTCTGACTGCTATTTTTGCCAAGGTATTTCCGAGCTGTCTCTCACAAATCAGGTACTGTGGTGTATGCTACAAGATTCCTTAAACAACCTTTGTGAAGAAGTGTTATGTGCTGCTTCACCCTGCCCACTTAGGAAAGTTGTGCTGGGAGGAGAATAGGTATGAAACATATCCCATTGATAGTGTAGCCATTAGGAAAGAGGGTGTTGACTTTGAAGATGGAGCCATCAAGGTTCAGTGGCCACCTCCTTAGCATATTTAACCAAGACAAATTTCAAGTAGTCACAGGGTTTTTCTAAGCCCAGTTTTCCAATACTTCTGGAATAGCTGTAAAGTTGCACAGCCTGTCATATACCAAGCATCTGTCAATCTATACCGGAAGAGCAGGGTCTTTTCTGCATATGGCACAACCAGGTACTGTAGCTCACACCTTTAATCCCAGTACTTAAGAGACGGAGGTAAAAGGATAGCAGTGAATCTAAGGCTAGCATGAGCTGTTTAGTAAGTTTCAGATCAGCCTGGGTTCCAGAGAGACTCTGCCTGTAAAAGAATGAATGAATCAATCAATGAAACCACCCTTGTGAGACTGCTTTGAAAATCAATAAACACATCAGTAAACAAACCCACCCCATATATACACATAGCCTGCTCTGCTTCACAGCAGGTGGTGTATTGTCCCAGAGACTCTTCTGGTTTTGAAAGTGGAGATCCTGTCTACACATGGCCTTGAGGCATCCAGGACAGCTGTAGGTTCCTTGTAGGAACCCTTGGTGATTTGTCTTGTTCATGCTAAGTTGCAAGTAACTGGGAAATGATTTTCCAGAACTTTTTCGTGGGCAGGTGTTAGACTGGAGTAGGTTCTAGGATGGTCTCCCTGACAGTCCCACTGCTCCCGAATATTAGGTTTTTGAGAAAATACAAGTCCTAAGGAGAGGGAGGATTCACAATTTTCATTAGGAACTTCTATCCTTAACTACCCTAAGATTGCTTTAAGCAGGCGTCAGTAATGTTTCTGTAAACAGCCAGATAGTAAACAACTTAGTTACTTCAGACCATGAGGCTGCTGTTTCAGGTCCTCTGCGGTTGTCCACTGCTGTGACCAAAGGTAATAGATAGTGATCAGTGTGTCTGGGTTAGTTAGGCTCCAGAGTGCAATTTACTGAGTTCTGGTATAGACCTGGCTACCCTGGGTATGAGCTTGGTATGGTTCACTTTGAAGTGGAGCTTCTGAGACCATAGGAGATTCTGTGGCTTGAGAGAACTCTAAAGCTGTGTCTGGTTACAATAGTCACTAAACACATGTGGCCAGTTAAGTTTAAAGTTTAAAATTCAGGTCCCCAATCAGAGTAGACACATTTCAAGTGTTTCATAGTCATATGGATGACTAGTGGCTACCATTTAGACACCACAGACGGAGACATCCCATTGTCACAAAAGTGTTATTGGATGTTCTGACTCAGAGTAGTTTGTAACCCCTATCTGTCTCTGATAACACAGCTGGGCAGAGAGCTCTAGAATGGTAGGCTGTTTTTGACTATGGGGGAGGAAAGGGTGGCCTGAGAAAAAAGTCGCTTTGTGCCACGCAGGTACCACATTTACTGTTTTGATTTAACTTGCCCTTTTTATTTTTTATTTTTATCTGACCTAGCCCTGAAGGACAGCAACTGGATATAAAGAAGTCAAGCTATAGAAAGGTAAGAGCCAACACCTTCTTTAGTGTCTACAGAGTCATGTCGGAATACATGATCTAAGATGGCTATGGGAAGCCCTGTGAGCAGGGCTTCAGGTAGAACTGATCAGTCTTTTGATTCTAGATAAAATGGGAAATAATGAAACTCTTCTTGGGCAAAGGCGTTCAGTCCTTTCTCTCCTTTGGTCCTTTTCTCTCTGAGTATAGTCTGACAGCTTCACCACTTAGTTTAGCAACCTCTTGTAAGATTTTATTTTTAATTATGTGTAAATGCATAAGTGCTGGTGCCAGAGGGGGTCCCTGGAGCTGGGGATAACATGCAGTTTTAAGCCACTGAACAGGGGTGCTGGGAGCTAGCCTTGGGACCACTGTGCCCCCAGTGTAAACTCCTGACCATTGAGCCCCCACCCCAGTGTGAACTCTTGATCACTAAGCTGTCCCAATGTGAGCTCTTGACTGCTGAAACATGTCTTCAGCCCTCTAGTAGCTTCTTGCTCCCCAACTTACAGGAGTGTGTGTAGTCTTTTGGTTCCTTGTCTGATGACAGCAAAAGCTGGGTCAAGTCCCCACCTTGCACCAGACCTGGCCTTGCATGGGTGGTGCTCCATTGGTGGAGTCAGTGAAGACCCCTATATTGGCCTCTCTCCCTAGCTCTCAAAGTTCCTCCAGCACATGCAGCAGGAGCAGATTGTCCAGGTCAAGGAGCTGAGCAAAGGGGTGGAGAGCATTGTGGCTGTGGACTGGAGACATCCGAGGTAAGTGCAGGCCTGTCACAGCAGCTCTGTTAGTTTGGGGGCACTGGGCCACAGCCTGGGGACTGCCAAGGCACTAGTATAACATGCTTTTTCCTTTCTTTGCTGGGTTTTAGGATCACTTCTTTCATCATCCCCGAGCCTTCCCTGACTTCCCAGACTGTCCAGGAAGGTAGCAGGGAACAGTCCTATCACCCTCCAGATATAAAATTCCTCTACTGTGTCCCAGCCAACATGACCCAGCTCTTCCTGGAGTCTGGCCACAAGTGAGTTTTGGAGAGCAGCCCTGTTCTGCCTCTATGGTCCTGCACTTTCCCCACATCCTGAGTGGTGTTTCCCTAAGACTGGGAAACCTGCTCTTCTACATGTAGTATCATACGTCCTTTCCTGGGGTAGCTTTTGGGTTAGGTAAATGAGAGACTAGGCCTCTCCATCTGCAGTTGCCCTTCAAGTAGCCCTGTTTGCCTCCCTTAGGAAAAGAAGAAAAGGGCAAGAGCCAGGGGGTGTGGTGTACACAGCTGTAATCCCAGTACTCAGGGAAGCAGAGGCAGGAGGGTCTCTGAGTTTGAGGCCAGCCTGGTCTACAAAGTGAGTCCAGGACAGCCAAGGCTACACAGAGAAACCTTGTCTTGAGAAAAAGAAAATAAATAAACAAAAAAAGAGGCAAGAGCCAAGGAAAGTGAGCAAGGAGTCTGAATGTTTACAGTTGGGCCCCAAGTACAGCTTGAATTAACCTCTGGTTACCTCTCTTTCCTAGGAAGGGGAGTGCTCTTGAGGGCAGTGAGGTCCGAAAGATCATCACTGACTATGCCAAGAGAAACAGCCTCGTGGATACAGACAACAGAAAGTAAGTGGGCACCAAGAATAGAGTCTGTCTTGTTAGGTCTTCATTTTAGCAAACAGACATGAAAGGATTCAGGGAATAGGCTGGCAAGATAGTGTAGTGAGTGGAGGTGCTTTCTGACAAGCCTGTGGCTGAGTTCAACCCTCAGGGCCCACATGGTAGAGAGAACCGACTGCAAAGTGTCCCACATATACACTTAATTTTGTGCCCTTGTAGACTCACACAGACACATGTAAGAACTTTAAATGTAAGAACTTTAGAAACAGGATGGGAAGGATTCTGGAATAGAAAGCAAATGAGCACAGCAGCTTAGAAACAGGCAAACCCAGTGTTTACAGACCATGGGCTGAAGACATGGGTTGTTGCCTGGAGTTCAGGTTGGTTACATGATGTCAGCATGGTTCATTAGCCAAGTACTCACATCTCACATATGTCCACCCCTGATGTTCAAGTACATATGGCAGTTGTCAGGAAAATGCAACCTGGAAAAACTATTTAATCAAAGTCATTATGGATTTTTGTTATGATTTTTCTTATATATGGCTACAGATGATATGCTACTAGCTAAGAGTTTCACTGATGTTTTTTCTTTTCTAGAAATCCTCATGATTTAGAGAGGAAGAGAGAGACCTAAATGCTAGTACCCTACTTTTTTTTTAACTGTCGATTTTAAATTACTGTTTATTTTGTGGTGTGGGGAATAGAACCTAGGGCTTCTAGAAAGCTAGGTATGCACTCTGCCACCGTATCTGCAGCCCCAAGAGTTTCCTTTAACTATATGGACCTCTGGGGTATTATGTAATAGCTCAGTCCATGTATACATTGTAATGACCATAGCATTTAGCATTTATACCCTTCCTTCCTTGTCTCCTTCCTCCCTCCCTCCCTCCCTTCCTTGCCTGTTGAGTGAAATCAAGTCTTGAAAGCCATGGTCACATAGCAGAACTGAGCCAAGAATCCTGGTCATTCCTTCCCACATTTTCTTCCACCATTTGCCGCTCTTTGCCCTCTCATTAGTGGGCTTTCCTGCCCCGTAGCCTCTGGGTCCCATAGCTCAGTGGTCTGGATGGCGTAGAAGGTACCAGTGATGGAAGCTCTCACTTTGGTTGGAATGGTTGAGGCTTAAATTGCCCTCATGCCTCTTTTTTCCCTTTAGTCTGGTGAAGTTGGATCCTATCTTATGTGACTGCATCTTAGAGAAAAATGAACAGCACATGATCATGAAGCTCCCGTGGGACTGTCTCCTGACCAGGTAATGGACTGATAGTCCCTTTTAACTTTACTGCACTGCTGCCCTTAGTATCTGCCGTAGAACTTCAGAATGCTTATTAACCTGGACCTGTGGCAGAAATGTGAATGCTTGAGTTCAGACCTCTGGTACCTATGGAAAAGCCAGGTTGCAGTATACATCTGTAACTGCAGTGTTACAGTGTTGGGGAACAGGGTTCTTTGGTCTGCCAGCTCAGCCAGGTTGATGAGCCTCAAAAACTAAGGAGCAGGTGATTGAGGAACCCCGAATTGACCTCTGGACTCCACGTGCATGCATCTGCACACCCCCCACACCAATAAGTGCATGTCTTCTCCCATACAAATTGTTACTATTTTAGTCTGTGACTTTCTTTCCATAAACACAGGCTTGAATAATTCTGATAAGGAGAGCTGCTGACAGTTTGAGCCATTATGACATGAAAGAACTTGACAGAGAGAAAAGAAAAACATTAACTAGAAGTAAGAACTTCAATAAAAGAACCAGTTAAGGCTGGGGAGTTATCTTCAAAGGAAAGATCCTTGATACTTTTTTTCTGTAGAAGCATACCTGAAAATAATTCTTTTTGGGATCCAGCAAACTATTTGGCTCCTGCCAACTATCCTATCACATGTTTATGTGAGTTTTTTGGAGCACAGCATTGGATCGCAGAGTTGAGTTGGCTTTTCTCTGTTGTGTTTTTTTGTTTGTTTGTTTTTTGAGACAAGCTTCAGTTTGTAGTTTAGGTTGGCCATGAATTTATGCCACTGGTTGCAACCATGAGCTACTGTAGAATTGAATGTTCTATGAAAGATACATTATTATTATTATTACAAGTTGCTGTGAGGTGGCTCAGTGAGTAAAGCCCACCTCACAAGCATTAGTACCTGAGTGAATCCCCAGAACACAGGTAATGCCAGGTGCACCTCTGTAATCTCCATCCTTGTCTGACAGACACAAGAATCCCCGGGAGCTCATGGATCACTGGTGTGTGCAGCTGAGGAAAGCAAAGGGACCATGTTCCAAACAGGGTAGAAGCTGAGGACCAAGTCCCGAGATTGTTCTTTGACCTCCACATATGCACCATGCCATACAGGTGTCTGCACTCCTTCATACAAGCACACACAAACACATACTTGCACTGACTTCATACATACACACAAAAGATTAAATAAAAAAATGCATTACTGGGACACATGAGAAATGTGAGATAGCATTTGGTGACAGTCAGCTGGTAAGGCACATTTTTGAGACAGGTAGACAAAGCAGATACCAGATTACCAGAAGGCCAAGCAAGTGGTGACTCTGCAGGCACTCAAGTCACTGTTTTTCCCATCTCTGAATCAGTCATGTCAACCTTGGCTACACCTTGGGGAACTTTGAGACATTGAGTTCATTGGTCTGTAGTTCAGTTCCCCGGGTAATCTCAATGCTTCAAAGCTGCAGCCAGGTTGCAAATCAGTGTGCTACAAAAACTTGTACTCAGTGCTCATGGTAGCAGGATGCAGAGAGATACTGTCTGTTGCCTTGATCTATTTATAACTCAAACTCTCATTTTAGATGTTTGAAAAATCTGCAGCCTGCCTACCAAGTGACATTTCCTGGACAGGAACCCATTCTGAAGAAAGGCAAACTCTGTCCAATTGATATCACCCTTGCACAGAAGACGTATAATAAGAAGGTAATTTAAAAAATACTGGGGCTGGGCAACTCAGTGGTAGAGCGTATGCTTTGCCTGTACTAAGGCCCTGGGTTTCATCCCTACTACAACCCCCCAAAAGAAAGATCCAGTGTTTGAGGTTGGTGAATTAGTTTCCATGCTAAGGTCTGGTTTCCTGGTATGACTGGAGACTTTTGTATTGGAAGTGCCCATGCTGTGTGCCATCACTGGCCCTGGGTGAGTGGTGTCATTAAATCATTTCCTCCTGCCCTCTGGGATTTTGTACTAAGAAACTTCTAAGAGCTTGTTTCAAAAGTGAATATTTAAGTTTGAGTTTTTCCTGGTACTACCTTATAAGCCTTCATCTCTTACACAATCTACTCCTTTGGCCTGGCTCAATGAAAATAGCTTGTAAAAGTTTCAGCTTGGCAATACAAGTTGTAGGGAACAAATTATAACTTCCCTCAAAATGTGTAGAATGCTGTCATCTGCAAAAGGAGTGTCTTTATTCTGCAGATCTAGAGGAGAAAGATGGGTAGAAATCTTGAATGCCCAGGCTTGGGTTTAAAACAGAGAACTTTGTAGAATGTGTGGTTCTGAGCCAAGGCTTTGGAATTCCATTGTGACCTTTTAAAATTTCTTGACCTTGAGCACCTTACTGAACTTTTGGTGCCTCTGTTTCTGTTTCCTGCCATATGAGTTAACTTCAGTGACGAAATGAAGGCTGTGTGTCTGCTAATAACTTAGCAGGAAGTAGTCTCTAAATGTGAACCAGTCATGATAACCTTAATTAGCAACAATTACATGCCAGACATTATACTAAACACTTTTTTGTCTATTAAGCACAAATTTCTAATTAATAATAGATCTGTCCAAAAATGAAGCTGGTGTTGTATAAATGATGAGTTTTCTGGAGGGCTGTAAGCAAAGATTCTTTCTGTGGCCACTTGGGGGAAGATGTGGACAGGGCCACATGCCCCAGAGAGGAGACTGGCTTTCCAATGTGACCTGTCAAGCCTCGTTTGACACTGTGTATAGCAGCCCCCTCCAGACCACCCTGAGAGTAATCCTTTACTGTCTCTAGTTGTTTCAAAGCAGCAAGAAGATTGTAATGTTTACATATTTAGTTTTGTGTGGCGTGGGTGGCATGTATATATGCCATGTGTGTGGTCTGGTGCTTGTGGAGGGTGAAAGAGGGTGTCAGATCCCCTAAAATTGGACTTACAGACAGTTGTGAGCTGCCATGAGGGTGCTGGGAATTGAACTTGAGTCCTCTGGAAGATCAGCCAATGTTCCTAACCACGGAATCATCTCTCCAGCCCTGGATTGTGAATTTTTTTTTTCTCCTTTTCCCCTTGACAGGGTTTCTCTGTGTAGCCTGGCTTTGTAGACCAGGCTGGCCTCAAACTCACAGAGATCCACTTCCCTCTGCCTCCTTGAGCGCTGGGATTACAGGCTTGCACAACCACACCTGGCTTGTATTGTGGTTTTTATTACTGTCTTTTTTTTTTTTTTAATTTATTTTGTGTGTGTGCATGTATGTATGTATGTATGTATTTATTTATTTTTTAAGCTGCTTGTGTGTCCGGATACCACATGTGTGCAGTTCCCATGGAAGTCAGAAGAGGGCATTAGGTCCCCCAGAACTGAAGTTAGAGAGGATTGTGAATTGCGCTGTGGGTGCTGGGAATTAATTTGGAAGAGCTTCAAGTGTTGTTAACCATTGGGCTATCTCTCAAACCCTGGTTGTGATTTTTTTTTATTTTTTTATTTTATGTGCATTAGTGTGAAGGTGTCAGATCCCTTGGAATTAGTGTTACAGACAGTTGTGAGCTGCCATGTGGGTGCTGGGAATTGAACCCCGGTCCTTTCGAAGAGCAGACAGTGCTCTTAACCACTGCGCCATCTCTCCAGCCCCCCTGGTTGTGATTTTTAAAAACAGCATTAATGCTTTCCTTTTTTTTGTCCTGAAGTCACATTCTTCTCATTTGTTGCTAATAATGGAAAAGTGCCATGTTCTTGACTGGCAATGTGATCTTATAAAATATTTTATTATCAACATCATCATTATTATCAGGGTTGGGGACAGGGAGTATGCATGATACAGTGCATGCATGGGGGTCAGAGGTCAACTTTGTGGCGTTGCTTCTCTCTATCTACCTTTATGTGTGTCCCAGTCACTGAATTCAGGTTGCCTAGCTTGTACAACAAGCACCTTTACCCACAGAGCCATTTCACCAGCTTGCCAGTTTCTTTTTCAGTTGTGATAATGGTTTTGCTTTTATGTTTAAAACAGTCCTTATCAGATAATCTCAGGTTCTGGTGGTACCTGCCTCTAATCCCAGCATTCAGGAAACAGAGGCAGGAGCATCTCTGAGTTAAAGGTCAGCCTGGTCTATATAGAGAGTTTGAAGCCAAACAGAGAGACATAGTTGGAAATCTGTCTTAAAAAAGAAAAAAAGAAAAATATACTGAAATATTATATATAATGTATATAATACTTATAAATAGATATTATATGTCCACACACATAGATATATGTATAGTGATCTGAAGTGTATTGGGGTTTGTTGTAAAGTAATCCAGGAGCCAGGAGTAGATGTGATGCAGATAAATCCAGACTGCCTGTATGTTGACAACTGTTAAAACTGGTAATGGGTATGTTGGAGTCCATCACATTGTTGTATACTTTTTTGATGTTTTGTTTTGAAACTGGGTCTCATAATGTAGTCTTGGCTGTCCTAGAACTTGCTATTTAGACCAGGCTGGCCTCTTACTCTAACTCACAGAGATCCATCTGTGTCTGCCTCTTGAATGCTGGGATTAAATGTGTGTATTTTCATGCTTGCCACCATACTATTGTCTGCATGTTTTAAATTATCCATGGTTAAAAAAAAAACTTTAAATATACGTTATAGGTAGGATAGATTATCTGTTAGCACATATAAATGAGGTCATTTTAGAACCATGAAGTATAAACTGTTTGTACAGAAAGGCACTAGGGTTACAGGGATAGAGAACTGCCCGCGAACGTGAGTGAGCTGCCAAAGGTCCTTCAGAGGGGAGAGCATACCGTAAACACCCACCGTCAGCTTCCTGTCCCCAGGTGACTGTGGTCCGGAACTTGGAGACTTACGGTCTAGATCCATGCTCAGTGGCTGCCATCCTCCAACAGCGATGTCAGGCCAGCACCATCGTCTCTCCTGCCCCTGGGACCAAAGACAGTCTACAGGTGCAGGTCCAGGGAAACCAGATCCACCACCTTGGGCAGCTATTGCTTGGTGAGTAGCCCTTCTGAGAAGACATTAGGCTGTATCCATTAGGCTGGCCTAGCAGAGCTTGCTGCTGACTCACTTGAGTCTAGTCACTTTTTTGCAGTGGTTCCACTTCACAGTGGTGCAAAAGTGATAGTCATCTAATAGACACTGTAGTTCAGGTTGTGAAGTTTGAACTCTTCTAGAACTAGCATTGGCTAGACAGTCTGTTGAAATGCTAGGTAGTAGCAAGGGTTGCCCCACCCCTGTCAGTCATGTGACCATGGTGAGGAAACAACCAGAATGCTGAACCACTTAGCTAAGGTGTTCTCCAGCTTAGCTGGATTATGTGCCTTCTCAATTTACCATATTTTTTTCTCTCTTTTTTAATTAAAGTAATTTTATATGAATTTGGGTGTTTTGCCTGCATATATGTCTATGCACTTTGTGTTCCTGGAGCTCTCAGCGGCCAGAAGAGGGCGTCGGATCCCCTGACACTGGAGTTGTAGATGTGAGCTGCTATGTGGATACTGGGAAATGAACCTGGATCCTCTGGAAGGGCAGCAAATGCTCTTAACTGCTGAGCCATCTCACCAGCTCCTCATTTTACCATACTGTCAACTTATAAGTGGTGTGTAAGGGGACATAACCCCAACAAGGAGCAACATGCACACACACACACACACACACACACACACACACACACACACACAGGCATGCACGCTTACAGCAGTTTATAGCAGTGACCAGATGAAACCAAGTCTTCGGCCCTTTTCAGAAACATACATATTCTTAGCTTTTCTCATCTTCCCTTTTTAAACATCATATACAGAGTACCCAGCTGTACAGAGTTCAGCTGTGCTTTGAGAGGGCATCTTTTTGGGTATAACTGGGCTGTAGGGTTGTTGCCTGTTTTACAGATGGGAAAACTGAGGTCCAGAGAATTCAGTGCCTTGCCTGGAGAGCCCCTGATTTTGAATACTGTAGCTGGGCTCTGAATCTTTTTATTCTTTAGAGCCAAAGTTCTTTTGATTCTCTTTGAGTCTCTAGCTTCTACTTTGTCCTTCATTTAAGCTCTCCTCCACAGTTCTGCCTGAGTCACCTTTCTGAAATATTTATTATCCTATCACTTCACCTACAAGGCCTTTTGTCTTATCCATGCCTTCAGGAATAAGCTCCTGAGTTTGAGGAACAAGCCTTCTGAGCCTGCCCTGTTTTTCCTGAAGGCTTTCTCCATAGCTCCCTTACATGTCCTAACTTTATCCAGCTAGTTTCTGCTGTTTACAAATATACTTGACACTTGACATCTACCTGCTTTTACGTGGCTGTCTCCTTCCCTTCTGTGCCCTCCCATAGCCCTGGTCTTGTCTATCCTCACAGGCTCACTTGCTCAGCTCAGGGGTAGTGTGTATCTCCCTTTGAACATGGTAGAAATGAACAGCATCTGTGCTTCTCGATTGTGTTGATGTTTCTGATTGGTGTCTGGAGCTTGTCTAGTTTTTTCTCTAATGTCTGAACCCTCTGCAAAGTAGAAGTTGAGATAGACCTTGCGTTTTTCATGCCTGTCTCACATCCAAATAATAAGTAGAGTTATCTCATGGCCTATGGCTGTCCACAGCAGTTAACTTCCAGAATTGAGCTCCTTTATGTGATGAGCCCCATGCAGTGGAACAGGACTAAGAAGAGACAGAAGAAAATAGATGAACACACATGTAAACAGAAATATAGCTTCAGTGGTTCCAACCTCTGGGTTGTAACCCCTTTGCAGGGTTGAAGGACCCATTCACAGGAGTTGTCTAAGGCCATCAGAGAAAACAGATATTTACATTACAATTCACAACACTAACAAAGTTAAGGTTATGACGTAGCAATGAAAATTTTATGGTTGGGGGTTATCACAACATGTGGAACTATTAAAGGGTCACAGCATTAGGAAGGTTGGAAACCACTGATCTAGATGGTAAGCCAGCAGATGTAAATGACCAAAATATACCCTTCAGCCACACTATGTGGTAAATGGTCCAACTCAGAAGGTGTCACCAGAGATGAGCTTGAACAGGATGTCATGTGTTGAATAACATCCTTGACAGCAGGGATGAGCACACGGGGGCTTAGTGGACAGGGAGGGGCAGGAGGTTATAGAGCCCAAGGGACATGGAAAGCAGGGACGGGCAGTAGGGACTTGAGACCAGGCTCGGCTGAAGATTTTCTTTTTGGATTGTAGAAGAGTATCGGCTCCCTGGAAAATACATCCAAGGCCTAGAAAAGGCCCCCAAACCTGGCAAGAAGTGACAGACTCATTTTATGCAGTGGATCCCATGGGAACCCAGGTTCTGAGCTGGTAACTGAAATGAGCATTTTCAACTTTTGCAAATAAAAACTGTAATTCTTTACCAAAAGCTTTTATTCTAATCTAAATCTGAATCCCCTCTTATCTTTCACTTAGTGAAAATGTTCATGTGGTTTCTCTGATTTTAAGACAGGCCACCCCATCTAAAGCACAGCAGGCAGAGCCCTCCTGTTTCTAAGCCCCTCTACCAGATAGACTCCAACTTTCAACTTATTGCTCTTGTGACCTAATTATCCTCCTAGGTCTGTCGGTCCTTTTGTGTCTCTGTAGTGTTAGTCCTGTAGAAAACAGAGCCTGGCTATTCTCTGCCGTCAGTCACAGCAATAAAAAGATTAACTCTCAGCTGCAGCAGAATTTAGGCCAGTAGATATAAGAACGATAAAACACAGAACATGGGTTTCCTTGTGACCATGCTTCTTCCCTGGCTGTACACAGCACATGGCCACTGATGGCTAAGTGATGATATGACTCCAAGATGGCAGCTTTGCTGTAGTGAAGGCTTAGGCAACCAATGCCTTTCTTAGCCCCAGCTTCTTGAGCCTGGGCTCCTGGAAGGCTCTTCAGTCAGTCTGTAGAGGACTCTGGAACTCCCTAAGAGAACTGCACAGGGAGGAGCTGTGTGTCCATCTGGTCAAAGGAGGCACTGATGTCAGAGATGTTCACCACTCTCATGCCACCTTGGTCTGGGCAGGCCGTTGTTCTATTAGGGCTCTCAATGGAGATAGTCATAAGAGCTGTGTAATTATAAATTCCTTAGGAGTTCTTGGGTTTTATTATTAAGAAAGAATTACTTTTTTTCTTTCTCATCTGTTTAAAAACTGAGATAAAAGAGGCTTGCTCATCTACTGTCCACCAAATCCCTCGTTTTAGACCAAGAAAGAAAGAAAAGAAAGATGTGAGTATAAAAATGTGTGTAATAACTCCTAATTTTCATTCTTTTATTTTTTTTATTTTTATTTTTTAATTTTTTTTGGTTCTTGAGACAGGGTTTCTCTGTGTACACAACCCTGGCTATCCAGGACTTGCTCTGTAGACCAGACTAGCCTTGAACTCACAGATATCCACCTGCCTCTGCCTCCCAAGTACTGGGCCAAAAGGCATGTACCACCATGCCTGGCTAGAAGTAAGCTTCTTAATCTCATTAATTCAGTCTGTTCCAGTATGCACATATGGAACCCAGAAATGCCTTCTAGATGTTGACGTCAGCAGGATCCTATAACAGCAAAGCCTTTGCATAGGCACGTCTGTTCCTGAAGAGTATGAACAGTACTGGCAAATGTCCTTGCATGCACACAGACAGCATGCAGCACTGCTGGGTTCTCACAGGCCTCTTGGAGGGTTAGTGAGGTAGGAGTCATGACTCCCTGCTAAAGGGAGATCTGTTCCTCACTGTGGTTCAGCTGGTACTCTGCTAGTCCAGTATGTTGTCCAGGCCTGTGCTGTGATGTTTTTCTAGGAATAGTGATACATTTGCACTGAATCATCCCCCGTCCCAATCCCCACCTCCCTGCCCCTCTGAATAGCATGGAGGTGTGGAAGAGGGTAGAGCTGGAGTCAAATTGGAATGGATTCTCTCTCAGTACTAAGCCAAATAAGTCTATATCAGGGTTAGACTTTGATTCTGAGACAAGGTTTCTCTGTGTAGCCTTGGCTGTTCTGGAATCAATTTGTAGACCAGGCTGGCCCTGAGCTCATAGTGACCCACCTACCTCTGTCTCCCTGAGTGCTGGGATTACAGGTCTGTTTGCCACCATGCCCAACTGAGCTTTGAATTTATTAATGCCATGCTACAGTGAAATAAGTTCAGGGAATACCAGAACTGCTTCATTTCCATGCATCTTCTGGTAGGTAGACAGAAGTTACAGATTTACATAGTGATTGAATGCAGTTTTTTAATCTGGTGCAGGAGGCTTGTTTACCTGCTTTCTTCCTCCAAGCCCTTCTATAACTCTTCTTCCTTTCTTTCAAATTTATGGCATTTTTCTTTGCATGTGTGCGCAAGCGCATGCATATGCACTTTATAGAAATATTATAACAAATAAAAATCCAACCTGCTCAGCTGGTTTAGTGTTACTTGATGTATGAGTTTAGGGTTGATCACTTGTTACTGGATAGCCAGTTAAGGGGCTCATCCCTGGGGAAGGTTATTTCCCACTCTCATCATTCCTTAGTTGTTACAGTCCTTTGTCTAGCAGTGGGGCCCATAGGATTCCCCCTTCCATGTTAACATGAGTGTTGGTGTTGTCCTTGTTTAGGCTGCCCTAAGGTATCACAAGTGAAGTGTCTGTTATTTCTAGGAGATTCTTACAGCAAATTTCTGGTTCCCTGGCTCTTAGAGTATTTGTTTCCTCTTCTGTAACGATACCTGAGCTTTTTTGTTTTGTTTATTGAGACAAGGTCTCACTATGTAGCCCTGGTTGGCCTGAAGCTTGCTTTGTAGAGAAGGGTAGCTTTGAAGTCAGAGATCCAACTGCTATGCCCCCAAGTGCTGGAATAAAAGGTGTGTGCCACCACACCAGGGTAGGTGCAGGAGTTTTGTAGTTTTTTCAGTTGGTGATGGGCATCCAGTGATCAGGTTTCCTCTGGATTTTGGCTAGTTGGGGTTTTTCTGTAGAGGTCTTCATTTCAAAAAGACATTTGTTGTGTGAGGGCGACACTTGCCTGTGGGTATAAGGATAAGTATGTAAAATGCAGTTGGGAACTATGATAGTTAGTAAAGTGGTAATAGTGGGGTCTCCTTTAAGATCCAGACCTCACTAGCTCTGGGGAGTTGGTGAGGGTTTCAGTACCAGATATGATTTCCCTCTTGTTGAGAGGGCTGTAAGGCAAATTAAACACTTGGTTACTGCCAAGATAAAAGAGTGCTACTATTGTACCCGTAAGGATGTTTTGCCATTCTGATCATTGTTAAGGTTCATAGGTGTTCAAACTGGGTAGGACTATTGGTTGTTTCCCTCCCTTGAAAGTGTGAATAGCCGCCCCATCCAGCCCTCCACTTTTACTTTCTTGGTTTTTGGTTTCTGCAATTACTCCAGGTTATGTATTCACATTTGGAGATTTGGAGCTAGGAACCATGAGAGAGAAAAGAGAGAGAACAGTGACGTTTGTCTTTCTGGGTATGCGATACTACTCAATATGATCTTTTCTAGTTCTATCCATTTACCTGCAAATTTCATGGTTTCATTTTTCTTTACAGCTGAATAACATCCATAGTGTAGTAGTGTATATGTACCATGTTTTACTTATCCTTCATCAGCTGAAGGACATTAAGTTGTGAGTAGAGCCCCAGTGAGAATGGCTGAGCACGTGTCTGTGGAGTAGTATGTCGAATCTTTTGGGCATATGCCAAGGAGTGGTATAGCTGGACAATATAATAGATTTTTACTTGTAGTTTTTTAAAAGTTCTCCACCTGATTTTCAGAGTCATTTTGCAGTCCATCAACAATGAATGAAGATTTCCTTTTCCCTACATTCTCTCCAGTATTTGTTGCCAGCCTGACTGGGCTAAGTTGTTTTGATTTGTATTTCTCTAAATTCTAGTGATGATGATCATGTTTTAAGATATTTCTTATTGCTTTTTTTTTTTTTTTTGAGAAATCTCTATTTAGTTCCTTAGTCCATTTTTTTTAAAATGGGTGGTTTACTATTTTAACTTTGTTTTTTTTTTGTTTTTTTTTGAGTTCTTTATATATTCTGGATTTTAGTCCTCTGATGTATAACTTTCCCATTGTGTGGGCTCCCTCTTCACTTGATTTGCCTCCTTAGCTGTTTGCCTTAATTTCAGGGCATATGTCCTTATTCCGGAAGGTCTTTCCCTATATCCGTATCTTGTAGGATCCGGCCTGTGTTTCTTCCAGCAGTTTCAGTGTTTCAGGCTTCACGTTTAGATCTTTGATCCACTTGGACTTAGTTTTTGTGCAGGAGGATGGAGTCAGGTGATAGGAATTAAGTCTGGGCAGGTGGGTGAGATCTCTGTCCTCACCAAAGCCTGGAGGTTGGAGGCTGTGTGACCAGACTAGGCTGGTACACAGAGTAAGGGACATGGCAGACCCACCTGGTTGGACCCTGGTACAAGATGTATACGAGACCAGGCTAGGCAGAGTTTAGATGTCAGCTAATTTGTTACAATTTTTAGGTGTAATCCAGGTGGACAGGAGACACCTTGAATCCTAGCACATGGGAGGCAGAGAGGCTGGGGAATCTCAGATTGAGGGTATCTTGGTCAGCACGGTGAGTCCAGGACAACATGGCTACATAAAGACAAACACGCACTCACGCATTATGTACACATGCATAGGTGCGCATTTGCCGTAGCACACATGAGGGGTAGAAGGGAACTTGTGGGAGTAGGTTCTCTTTCACTGTGTGAGTCAGAGATCAAACTCAGGTCGACAGGCTTGGCAGCAAGCACCGTTACCTACTAAGCCATCACATCAGCCCTGTGATTGGCTAATTTTAAGGATGCCTGGTGGAAAGGGGACAGAACTGGAACAGCCTCTGCAACCTGAGGGCCTCGTGCATTGCATGATACACAAGCAACACTGGAAGGTAGGAAGTGATTTCTCTGGTTAACTTCATGTGGCTGTTTCTGTGAATTTAATGATATTTCAGTGCTGGAAATCAGAGGGTGCCAGAATGAGGGCTACTTTGGTGTCTGTTCAGCCCTCTGCAGCTACTACCAGTGACACATTTGCATCTTAGTTGCAAATAAGTCCAGAAGAGAAGTCTTGTTTACCTTTGTATCCAGAAAGCCCTTGCTCTTTTCTAAGTCAACACATGGTTTGCTATGAGTCCTCTCTGCTTTCCAGCACTGGGGGGACAGGGTAGAGCCAGCCACTGAGGCAGTCCCCTCTGTGTTTGAACAATTTTCTCAAAAGCATTTAAATGGTAGCCTTCATTCCCAAGCCTACTGTAGAAGAAAACTTGGCTATGCCAAGAAAATGTACTACTGCTCCTGTCTACCTCTCTCCAGCCCATTCTCCATTAAGATGAGGACATTCAGTGAGGATGTTTCCACTGTGAATTTTTTTATGGTAAGCTTTTATTACTCATTAAAAAAACATATAAGACATTTAGAAAGAAAATCTCAAAACAAACACCCACACACAAAGCAATACAACCATAGAAGGCACTACTAGCAGTTACACCCGGCTCTGAGACTTGAACTCGACACGCTTTCCAGATGCTCAACCTCAGTAGAGGTCCTGGGTGTAACTGTGCTTTAAAGTCTGAATTATACCATAATTTTCTGAATAAACACCATATATATATATATATATATATATATATGCCTCTATGTGTATATACATACATAACTTCTTTTTCTTCTCAAAAATAAAATAGCCATCCATGGAGGGAGGTTCTCAGCAGCATTCACAGTGTTTAACAGCAGGAGCCATGCCTTCTCCTATTGCTGCAGACATGCAGGATGAAGGGAATGACTTTCCAAATGTGCCTGTAGCACACAGCAGGAAGGGGCTTCTGAAGGGAGGGAAGTGCTAAGGCTGAGCATGAGATGGCTGACAGCCAGGGGTTTGATGGCAGGCACAACCTCACTCGCGGCTCTGAGGAAGATGACACAGTGTGAATGACAAGGACTTGGCATTCCTCTGGGACAGGAGCAGCGTAGACTCAGCCTGGGCTGGGGAGGGGACTCTTGAGGCTACACAAAGAAGCTTGGGCTTAAAACAATCTGAGGGGCATGGAAAGGCAAGGGCAACAAGAAAGGTCTCTTTTGGGGGCTAGACTGGAACTGTCCCTCTTTGAAAAGGGCAAGTTATTCTCCCTCTGTATTGAGTGTCTTTGCAGTCCTGGCTACTGGTTGGTGTGGTCTCTGGCTAATCTGTTTTAAGTTTGAACTAGTCAAGAGCTGGAGTCATCATAATCTGATCATCTTCAAAGTCAAAGCCTGATTGGGAAGCTTGATGGAAAAGTGGTGTGTGGGCATCATCCTGTGCTTTGAGGAATCTCCTCTATACCACCATTGTCCACTTGCAGCCAGGGGCAAGCCAGCAGGAGAGCTTCAAGAAAACATGTCCTGCTCTTCTCTCTGAAAACAAAAAGGCACAGAAGTCACCAGGCCCACCCGTTTGCTCAATGCTGTGCTGCAAATGGACCATCCTTCGCCCCAGAAAGGACTTCAAGTTGGAGGACACTACCACTTGACTGTAGGATTATTCAGGCAGCAGCTGGAGATCCTAAAGCCCCAGTTTGAAGATGAAGGCCAAGGAATAGAACAAGCAGTTCACGTCCCCACTGCTTTCTCGTTGGGCACAGGCTGTAAGATTGCTTCTTGGATGTGCTTCTCTGCAATACTTTCTGGTGACTCAGCAGGAAACTAAAATTGAGTGGAAGGTTTCTCTGTGCTAGAAATCCAGGAGGATGACAACATCAAGTTCAAATTTTAACATAGCAAACATCGGACAGAGACATGCTGAAATACCACACAAATGTACGTATATGCTTTTGGGTTTGCATACACACAGTCCATTGGGTGATAGGAGACGGACAGCCTGGTCAGGCTGTAGCTTCTGGATACTCAGGCTGACCCTGAGTGTCTAGAACTAGGAAGAGGAGGCACCTTGGGGCAAGGAGGACAGTCCTTCCATGAGTATTTTCCTGCTTTCAAGGACTTAGCTAAATGAGTATATAGTTAGCACATAAATAAAGATTCTGTAGGTGGCAAAAAGGAACTGAAGGATTAAATCCAGAGAAAAAACACAGGGTCTAAAAACCTTTTGTTCCTTTTGCTGGCTGGTGTGATTGATTGTAGTCTGGTGACCAGAGAGGCAACTATTTGGTTTGTGAAAGGCCAGGAGATTGAGCAGGGGAAACACTGGTCGTCCACACGCGATCTGATTCCAGGTGGAATCTCCAGAGCCATGGTGCTGTACGTTGGCTGGAATCAAACCCTGCGTAGACACTCTGTGGAAGAGACTTTGTGCCACATCTGTTAACTGCTGAGCAGGCACCAGTGGATTCCCCCAGAGGAGTCTTGAGAATAACTGTCCATGGCAAAATAATTCACAATGAAATAAACGGGAGGGCACTGAGAGGACAGGAAGTGAGCTGGCTACCCAGGCTTCCCTTGGGACTCTCGTAATGCCGCCTCCAGTTTCTGTCGGAATTTGTTGTACTTCTTCTGCAGTTGGTGGATTTTGTCCTGCTCCTCTTTTTCCAGGATAGTTAAGAAGTTCTGGAGTTCAGGAATGGAAAAGGCATCCCACTATGAGGTATAGAAGAGGAGGAGGTGGAGAACACAAGGGGGAATGGTTAGAAGTTGACATGACTCGAGGCCCCTGCTGCTGCCTCCACAGTTTACATTAGTGAGCCTGGCAGGTACCACAAACGACATTTGTGTACAGTACACAGCGGTCACATCAGTCACAAATGGTCAAGTGCTGGCACACCAAGAGAGCTCCTAGCCTATATACCCTCTTTTTATGGGAAGAGGCAGCAGCAGCTGAGGTCTTCAGTGCTGAATGTATTCTCCAGAGACAGGCAGAGGATACCTCTCACAAGCGGTGCTACTTCAGCTGCCAAACTACCCTGTTTCCCAGCTTCTCATGAGCCACTATACAGTGTACATATATACCCTAGACACTTCTCAGTTGGCTTTAGCTGGTCAGTCTCTCTCCTCCACATGGGAGAAAGGAATGAGACTCCAAGCTCTTTAAGCACAAGAGATCGTTTTACAGTGTATCTGGTTTAATCCCCATGCTAGATAATAAGAAACCTGCAGTCCACAGAGCAGTGAGAAAAAGTCATGGAGCTGGCAGCAGCAGAGTGCAACTGGAGCTGTTTCAGCTTGCCCAAGCCCACAGGCCCTCAGTGTCCTCCCTTTCCCAAACTGACTCTTCTGTAGACTCGAGATTACACTGAGTTTTTCTGATTGAAATGAGTGCAGAGTTCCATCTGCCCAGATCCTCCAGATCTCCATTGATCTCCCACCACTCCACCAAAACAAAAACAGCCCTCCTCTGAACACTGTGATAAACACTCAGACCCTCTTTCTATCACTGCTTGAGGACCACATCCCAAGTATTCTGGGCTCGGAGGATTACTGCCTGATTTGACTCCATTTTTGCCAGGAGTGACATTGGTTAGTCCCCCTTTGAGAAAGGAAATCAGCATTTTAGGAGGGAAAATGGTTCAAAAATATCTATGCTCCAGTAGAACCCAGAGCTGCAGCTTGCTGGGCCTTAGGACAACCAGATGGGGCCTGAACATGGTTTCTCAGTATGTGACCCCTGCCTCCATGCCCTCTAGCCCCATTTTCACAAACAAAGCAGATGAAATCCTTTCTACAGGCTTTGCCACATGCAGGTTGTAACTTGCTTCGCTGTGATGTGCCTTGCTGATGAGCCGGGGTTAAACACAGCCTCTGGCGGTCCTGCTGTTCCCACCTACACACTGCAGTTAGTACAGCAGCGCCCAGCTGTCCTCACCCAGGTGATTCTGTCTACCCACCCACAGTTGTTTTTTGTAAAGGGGGTCCAGGCATACCTCTACCTCTCCGGTTTCATTCTCTTTCAGCACAAAGCTGAGGACATCAGTGTCAGGCCCAGCGAGCAGACGCAGGTAGAGAGGGCAGTCAGCAATGGAGAGTTTCTGGAAGAGCACTGCAAAACAGAATGAAAGGCTGGGTGCTCATCTCAAAAGAGAAGGATGGGATGGGGCCTGGATGGAAATGGGACAAGTAACTGGAAATTGACATGAGTCTTCTAATGGGCAGGAGCCTGAGGAGACAGTGGTAGCTCAGGGCCCTCCATTTGTTCCTGCCTCCATTCCCAGCATAGCAGGGTTTAGCCATGTTTCCATCTACATCCTCTTCCAGAGGAAAAGGAGCAACAGGCTTACTCCTTCCTATTATAAGATTAGACCAAAGCCCAGGGTGTGTCTTTCCTGTCTTTCCTGGCCAGATTCCATACTTGTCTTTCCCCTGAATCCTAATGCCATGTAGATGGCTGTAGCCCTGCTGCCTGGAGGCTGACACTTCCCATCCAGGGCTGACAGTGAAGTTTAGTGACTGGGCATTGGCAGACTGGAGAAAGGTTGAAATCTCTCATACCTTGTCCATCTTTGTGCATCCGCTTAAAAAGTGCAAACTTCTGTGGGTTGTCCACAACCATGAATTTCTTGAGCAGCCCCTGGATGACCTCACTGACAGTGGTGGTGCTACTGATATGTAGCTGCTTGATGGCATCAAGTGGCAGGTAGAAGGATGTCCGCTTATCTGTAGTGGCTGCAGGGTTCACTTCCTTAATGGCATCATAGATGGACTGGGGCCGGATCCCAGCAGGCACTGTCACTGGCCGTCGGAGTTTCAAATGCACTTTGATGAAACCTGTGTAGGTGCCATCTTCACTCTGCAAGTGGGAGGCACATCTTGCATGATTCTGTCTGCCACTCTAGGTTGTGAACTCCAGAAGAACTGACGGACCACTCCAGCCAGCCTGCCTGAGTTCTTTCCGGGGTCTGCTACCTAGAGGTGTTGGATAATACACTCTCCTCACAGGCCAGGAGGTCTGGAGCCCAGTTACCAAAGGATTGGTGGGGTTCCTGTGGCTTCCCTCACAGGAAGTTTAGGCTGGCTGCCCGAACCCAGGTGCCAGTTGTCTTTGTTGGGTCCTCATGCTAAATGCAGAGTCTTCAGTCACCTCTCTACTTCTGAGGCACATCAAGGTCCTCAGAGATCTGCCCCCCACCCCAAACCTCTAACCTGACTTTCAGTCTGCATTTTCTGAGGCCCCTGTGAGACTTGAAGCTCCAGAGAGCCATTTGCTGCCAGTCACCAGCAGGGGGCAAGGTCTTCTACCGTCACCCCTTAAAGATAGCCTCTCTGAACCAGTCAGGGTCAGGGGTTCTTACCAGTCTGAGCACTATGAGTTTAACAGGCAGGAATGGGAGCTGTAAATTCTCCTGGTCAAGGGCTTCCTGGGGATCTAGCCCCTAAACCCTCCATCACTGTCATTTAATTTCCCCAAGATCTCTTACATATGGGTGTGGAGAGCTCTACTTTACACCAAAGCAAGGAGAGATTAAACTCTCCCAAAGTAGCCAGAGAGTGAATGGGACAGAGATCGTATCTGGAATTTATACTAAAGCCCATTTCTGGGTCCCAGAGGCCACAGGAAGCCAGGCCTGAACAAAGAGTGAGCTGTAAGGGAATTGCTGCTTCTGTGGAGAGCGGGAACAGGAGGGATGCTGGGTAGGGATGGACAGGCCCTGCTTACCAACTTCATGCCCAGGCAGTGTTTCTCCCTGCTGTTGTAGTTGTCAATCTTCTGCTTGATCTCCTGTATTGTGGGCAGATGCTGTGTCTCCTCCACTGCCTTACAGACATTCTGGAACAGAAAAGTAGCAGTGTGTATGGTGGCTCTCAGGATGTGAAGGGCAGTAAGCACATCTCCAAAAATGCCTTTCTGGCTAAGAAATGAATGCCAGCATAAGAGCTGTAAGAGGCTAGCCACTCAAATCTCTCTCAGCCTCAGGCTTCCTCCCCTTTGAAATGGGAGTAATACCTACCCAAGACTGGCTGACAGTCCAGTCAGAGTGCCCCCACACTTGAGCACTGGCAATGAACTTGGTGAATGGGTAGAACTTCTGATAATGGTTTGCTCTGGAAAAGGTGCTCACAGATGGAAAAAGATGAAGCTATGGTCTGTCCATCTCAAAGTATTAATGATAAAGTTGCTAAGATGTGAGTGCATGCTATCAGATAATGCTCAGAACTAGGGAACAAGGGCTCATGCCCACTAGTCAGCTCATGGCATTGGCAGTAAGCTCTGCTCATAACAAATGACGGGTTTGTCAAATGAATGAACTGGCAGTGTTAAGGGGCATGCAGTCCACTCTTCTAGGGATAGTCAGCATATACTTCACCTCTGTACACTAAGGATTCAGCTGTCTGTCTTTGAATCCCAGGCCTGGACTGTGTGATGACTCATTATCCCGTTTTCCATGTGAGAATATTGAGACTCAGAGGCATTTACCAGCTTGCCCAATACCCTCATCAGCATGTGTGGAGCAAACCAGAAATCCCATACCTGTGTGTCCTGCCATCTTCTCCCTGCATCACCATGACTTGTTCTCATATAGCTCCCTGATTGTCCCTCTGCAGCCCCCAGGAAAATGGGATAATGACGTTAAAGTGTATGTCAGTATCCCTCGCAGTACGGTTACACGGTGGATTCTGAGATACACAGTTCCTTTTCACAGTCTGTCCTCTGGATTTCTCTCATGCTCACAGTCACTTCCTGGGTTTGTCTTCATGCTGCCCTGAGTGCCTTGGAGTATAAGAGCTGGTCGGTGAAAATTCTCCCAGAACTACCTCTATCTTAGAAATCCAGCAGACAGGGGGCCAGTCAGGATTCACCTCTGGTACGTCAGACAGCAGATGCCTAGGACTGGTGACTTGGTGTCATCTGACACCTGCTTGTGGGTTTGGCTTGGGGAATTTTACAGCAGGTCCCACATCACACTGCCACCGCAGCCCAGTGAAGCACAGTAGGGTGCCCACCAACAGGGCTCACCCCGATCTTTTCCTTCAACACGGCCATTTGCAGCGCTCCACACTGACAGCCAGTGCTTCCTCCTCCTCAGTCCTGCAGAGCACAGGGAACTGCAGACTCCATGACTGTCAGGTGGTGCAGGCATTGTTGCATCTGTATGGCTCCCCCTTCCCAGCCCTCCGCAGAGATGGGCAGCTTCTTCTCCCTGAGCACTTTTCATCCATCACTCCTGATGGGAACGTCATTGTAGGTATTTCAAATGCCTTCTCCGACATACTACCTATGGTACTTCTATTGTACGATAACAAATATAAAAATAAATGTGCTGGTATCCGGCTATTAGTGAGTGGCCAGTAGGGGAATTGAAGGCCATCTAAGCCTGGAGCCCAGTTCTCAACTGACCATGTGGTCACCCTAGGGCAGCCTCTTCTGCTGCAGGGATCGGCACCCCACCACACCAGTGATGGTCCCTGAATCTTAACACTGCAGGTCTAACATGAACAGCTGGTAAAACAAGCCCCAATCTGTGGAACATTGATCTAAGCTGGCCTGATCAGTGTGTCCAGCTCTAGGGATCACAGTAGGTCTTGCATTATCAATGGAGCTGGCAAGGAGGGTCTCCTAACATCTGGAGTGAGAGGCAGCTGGCAGGATGTAGGGGCCTACCAGGATGCCCTCTTAGATCTCTGAGTTGGGCCTTGAATGTCCAAGAGAAAATAGTTGTTAGGATATCTCCTGTTTGCTGGAAATGAATAAGCCATGTAGGCCTCACAGGCTGTCCATTTACTGTTGGCTCATTAATCTGCAGACTTTCAAACTGGATCCTCTCATTTGTCTTTACCTCTGGGACTCTCCATTCCCAGGCTCCATAAGCTGGATACATCTCTATGGACCAGGTGTGCCTGGCTATGGCTTTGCCTTGCTTTCTGCCTTTCTTTTAGTCAGAATGAGCAGGTATATGGCTGCTGTTTTATACTTCATTCTCTCCATCTCTAAGGCAGGCTGACTGTTATTCCTGGGATAAACTCATAAAATTATTTACCAAAAAAAAAAAAAAAGTTAAAAAAAATCTAGAAGTCCCTGGAAGATCTTTCAGTCAATCTCCTGCTATTTCCTTGTTGAAAAAGCAGCTATATTGTGGCTGCTGACAGCCTGTTTCCGTACCTACTTTGGACCACAGTGAGTCACAACTGCCTTGGCCTTAGGGTTCTTCTTCCTGTTCCACTTTTTTTTTTTTTTAATTCATTACATAAATCCTTCTAATTCTCTTCTCTTCCCACAAGCCTGGGAAATGATGTAAGTAGCCATGAGTATGTTTAAGACAGAGCCAGAAGAGAGCATCTCTGACCTCAGATTTGGAAGGCCTGGTCTTCTAGGTGGGTAGGTGAGCTCTATATACGTAGGAGAGTAAGCAGCCTGTGTGTGGCAAATACCATGAACCTCGCTCCCATAGAATGTCAGCACCCAGTTCAGTCTGGCTGCTGCCCACACTGAACCTGCCAAGCAAGATCTCACCTAGAGATGGGATGAATCACTCACTAAAGTAGGCCAACCAGTAAGCCCTGTCCCAGAGCTCAAAATCTACCACCAGCCTGGGAAACACCAGAGAAACTAGATTATGGGTTCTTAAAATTTCAAGCACATTGGAGTCCTCTGGGATTTTCTAGAAATATAGTTTCCTGAACTTTCTCCTCAGAGAGTGCCAGTTTCATTGATCTGGGACACAGCCTGGGAACAAGAATTTTAGAAATCTCTCACGGGCTGGAGAGATGCCTCAGTGGTTAAGAGCAATATCTGCTCTTCCAGAGGTCCTCAGTTCAATTCCCAGCAACCACATGGTGGCTCACAACCATTTATAATATAATCTAACCCCCTCTTCTGGCCTGCAGGCATACATACAAATAGAGCACTCATATACATAAAATAAACAAAAAATATCTCAGATGATTTCAACATGTTGCAGAGTTTAGAAACTATGAGAGACCCTCATAACAATTCTATCAAACTACAGAGCTAATATTTTGGGGACAAGTGCCTCTACACTTTACCTAAAAGGCAGTATCCACTGTGTGAATGAGTCAGCAACTCAGTAATTTTTCCAAGGACAATGCAGACTCTGGTTTCTGTTCACCTGATACATTCTCAAGCCCTCAAAGTGAAAGATTTGTCTCTGATGATGAGCACAGAGTTAGAAGCCAGGAAGAGAGCACTTGTGTCTTGGGGTGCCTGACATCCAGACAGCATGGGGAGCTCTTGAGATTTATTAAATCTAGATATTAGCCTATCAGGTGTCTCTCTGAGAGTTTGCCTGTATCAGGACATGTGTCATGGAATTAATTGACTCTGATTAGTGCTCTGGCACTGGCTGAGGTGTTGTTGGTGTGCTTGGCTCATCCAGGCACTGCTGGGCGGCTGGTTTGTCATATCCTAAGCCACACAAAAGGCTGTAACCATTCTAAGCTCCTGAGGTTATGGCAGTTATGAAATTATAAAGTGGAGGCATGACAGCCAAGTCAAAGGCTGTGTGTGTGCCAGTAGAAAGAGCACAGATGTTCCTCCCAGGAATGATTCCCTAGTATCTTAAAATGCCCTTAATGAGCTGGGAGTGGTGGCATGTACCTATAATCCCAGCACTCAGGAGGCAAAGGCAGGAGGATCACTGTGAATTCAAGGCAAGCCTGATCTATATAATGAGCTATCAAGACTATTATCTCAAAAAAAATACTTTTAATAACCCCAACATGGAACAGATTTATGCTATGTCAGATTTTGCTGTATTTGGTCTTCAAGGCTACACTACCACACTGGCCAGTTCTGTATTGTAATCAATGACATACAGGAAGTCTTCATTTTAATTATTCTACTCAATGGAGGACAGCTCTGAGTGATACCAGTAGCTTCTAATCTCCAAACGGACCCTGGAAAGACCAAGAAATCTCCAGCAAAGTTCTCAGAGTGACAAGTGGGCAGAGGAGAGTGTTTACCCTCAGTGCTTGCTTTGTCTTGACTTAAATCACACAACCCTTGGCTCTGCTAAAAAATGTCACTCAGTGTCAGTGTGTTCTCCTTGCTCATGACATTCATTGTCTTACTCCTGTCTTCCCACCCGAAGTCTCTTTACCTGACAAGGCTTCCCTAACGACTGGAACCCTGAGCAATGGTGGAGGTGACAGCAATCCTTCAGCACTGCCTCTTCTGTGCCACATACTATTCTCAGCATGTATTAATCAGCTCACTCAACTCACTCCACAACACACACATGAAGAAAGCTGCCATCCTTGTACCCACCTGCAGTTGAAGAAAGTGGATCACAGCCAGACCAAAGCTAAGCTTGTCGAAAGGTAGCCCTATACCATCTGGAGTTAATCTACAATCCTGCTTCTATCTACCTCCCAGGAATTTATCGTGCTGGCTTCCCCTCTTTCCTGGGTGAAAGCTCCTTCACCACCAGGGCCATATGGTTTCTGTTTCGTCCATGCCCAGCATCACTGCACATGAAGAAGATAATGAACTCTTGCTCAAGACCCTTCACTGATCCCTCCCTGACTGCAGGGAGAAAGGGTCTCAGCTTCTCCAGGAAGCTGTGATGGGCCTTGGATTTAAATATTGTTCTGAGTGAAGTAACCATGCCTGTCTTGTCCATCACAGTATCCCGGAGCCTTATTCCTGCTTAGCACATAGTAGGGCTTAGTAAATACTGGGGGAATGGATACTATGTATTTGACTTTTGACTCCCACTACTAATTTTGTGACCTTGAAATAATCAGAGAATCTCCAAATCTTGGTTTCTTCTATAAAATTGGGATCAAAAGCCTTTATTACTCAGGACTGAT